ACACACACACACACACACACACACACACGTATCACCAAACAGTCAGACTGTTATCATCCCTCACTCATCGAGGTCTCGCAGATCATCACTACTGTGGTGACGACTAAGACGGCTGACGGTTCAGGAATTCCAAAAACAAACAGAGTGAAGTGCAAGTTAAGCTCTCACTGTCTATAAAAAGACATCAGAGGAGTGTGTGTATGAGTGTGTGTGGGTGTGTATTCTGTGTGCATGCATGTGTGTTAAAGAGAATGTAAAGTGAGACAGGTCTAAATGGGTCAGCTGCATTCAGAAATTCCTCTGTCTAATGTGCCATAGTGATGAGATGGAAGTAAACACATGTGGACATAGAGTGGATCTAAGGTGCACATGCGCCACAGGTCTCTCTTCGCCTTCATCAACGGATGAAAAAGGTCTGTTGTAGCTTATCAGGTTCTGTTCATCAAAGCTGCACTTCAGAGGCTCTCTGTAACTTTGTCCTCTCTTTCATCCTCAGCACTGACAGTTGAGCATTGTACTCCTGGACTCACAGAAATCCCAGTCTCCTTAAAAGTCATCAAACTATAAACATTTAAAATCTATTCATACAACCTGGTGGTTTAAAAAGCAGCTGTCTTCCTCACCTTTGCTTCAGGTACAAGTCTTTGGGAGTCCTTCAAACTCCTTTTGTCTGGGTCGGACACAGCAGAGGAAGGGAGGCAGGCAGTCCTACTGAAAAGTTTGTTTAAAGAATCAGACTCCTGGTGGGTTACTCCCCTTTCCACCCCAGCCAATGGAGAGGCTGGTCGGTCCCATACAAAGACATCCCAGTCCAGGCCATTTCTCCATACAAGGCAAAAGAATGCACAGGCTGCAGGCTGCTACTGCCACAGACTATGCCTGGGATGTTTGGGAAAAGGCAGAAATGACAGGAACTACGATAAGGCTGCCTTATTTAGAGAAAAGGGCCTAAACATTTAGAGGACGCTCTGTACGGCTGGAGTGTGGAAACATGGGGGAGAGAGTTGTGAGCAGATGCAGAGCAGTTTTGAAAGGCAGCTGCAAGACTATGGCTTTCCTTAAATAGGCAGTCTGGCTGTGCCATCACTGAGGCCTTAATGTGCAGGGAACACCTTAATTTATGTCATGGAGGCAACATCTGGTTTGTGGTGGCTCAGAGTTTTTCACATTAAACACAAAGGGGAAAACCTTGTAGACATTTTAAATAAGTGTTTCCTGTTTGGGCAGCTTACTCTGACCAAGCTGTGTTTTCATGTTCATAATATGTATTTCATGTCCATAGTTGGGCAGTGCATAATGTATGTTGTTGGAGGCATGTACAGCTCTTGGGTTGGATATCTTTAATTGTAAATTATACATTTAATTTTAACAACCCTTTCTATTTTTGAGCTTCACAATGATCCTTTAGGGACCTTATTTAATAGTAAAATTACTATTTAGGATTTTCATTGTTGCTGTATGTTGATGGTGATCATATATTTTGATAAAGATACTTTCTGCATATTTAAGATTTGATAAACTGAATGCTACATTCACTACCTCATCTCCATGTTTGTGTCTTTCATCTGTTTATCTTTATATTGAGTATTTCCAGCAATATTTAAAAATGTATTTTTATGTTTTCACTTTAAACAGTGCATTGTCTGTTTTTATTTGTTTAACATTCCGCATATTCATATTGTAGTAAATATTCAGAGCAGTAAAAGATGACTTTCTCTGACTGGGATTAAATGATAGAAAAACAGAAGATGAATAAAATAATTCAAGCAAGAGAAACATTAACGGCTCTCTATGCAGGTGCATTGACGCCACCCACTGGCCCAAACTAAGTATTGTTTCTGAAACACTGAAAACCCTTCAATGAATGATGATGAGGAAAAAATAATGTTGAAGGGCTATGAAATTATTTATACATACAGGCGCACCCAAGTATCCCACTGTCCTTTAAAATATAACATAATTTAAAATGTAAAAGCAAGTGAAGATATCAGAGTATTGAAGCCAATATAAACACGGATTTAAAGATAATTAACTAAAGCTATACAAAGATCTTACCTGCACACAGAAGGAACAGAGACTTTCATTACTGTGTGGATTTTGTGCTGGTTTTTGTTTCTATAAAACGCTTAAGGTTAAACATTAGTCGTCAGTTTCAGGGGTTTGTCACTGATTTAGTTCAAGTGAGAGGTCACTTCTAACAGGTTTATGATTCTATGAATCGCTTAACATCATAACGTTATTACGTAGCTGATGAATTTTCCAGTGAAAGTTAAAAACCTGAGGAATTTGAGCGTCTATTTCTTATTTTGTTATTGTCTTAAGTAATAAATTTAGAGGCGGGACCTGTTTTCTTTTCCCGTTCGCTCATTGGCTGCTGGGGTGATTGATTGGTGTGGTGCGCAGGCGCAGTGGACCTGGAAATGTTCGGGATGACTGTTGTTGTCTCAAGCTGACGAGCTGCTCGGAAGGTAAACTGCTCTCATCACTAAAATAAGAAGAATACACTTTTTCACACAGTCCGCAGTCTTGTAACTCACTGAGGAGTCAGGGTCAGTGTGGTCACAAAAATCTAAAACATTCATTTTGACTCGCAGTAACTTAAATCGCTTTCGGACCCATCGTAGAGATGTTACAACACTTCGCTGTCAAGTAAAGCTAATTGCTAATGAAGTGTAAAACTAGCTCTGGTGTTTGTTCTGTCTCTTAGCTGCAGTGGATTTAATGGTTCCGCTGTTTTTATTGTTAGATGGTTTCTTTAACTAACAATGAGTTGTGACGCACAGTCTGTAAAACGTGAACCATACGTGTACAACTGTTGCGTAAAGTTACCTGCCTGCGTAAAATACGTATCCACTCTCAGGTAACACACACTGGATGCAATGGCATTGAATTCATTTCCTTGTGTTTGATTGTGTTTTTTCTTTCAATGCTTTACAAGACCCTCACAAAAGTAGTTCCCCCAGCCCCAGACTCTATGTGATCATAAAATCTGATTAAATTTAACAGGGATTAATAGAAGATGACACATATTACAGTATAGAGGGAGGTAACCTCTGTGTTTGTGTCTGCTTGGAGACGAGGGTCAGTAAAAGCCTAGACAACTCTTTCCACACACTTGACACATGGCAGACTTGGCTCAGTGCATGACCAGTGACTAACGACAGATGAACTACTGTCACCTAATGATGAAACCCGACAAAATATGAATCATCAAGAACTTAAATTCTTGATCACACACAAAAGGATTTAATCAAGCAAATGTCCAGATTTACTTTTCTTCCTATTCAATGTTCAGAACTGAATATTTTTTAGTTTTGGGTTGTTGGACACTTTTTTTTTTTACACTTGAGAAGTGAAATTAAAGGCTCTGAATATTGGAATTATGTTAATTTACACTGTTGTAGAGATAAATGTGTTTAATACATCAACTACAGGGCAAACATTTGAGCCATGTACATCAGTATGGACCACCGCACTTTCCCTCCTGTTATTCTTCTACAACACTGCTGTTCCACAACCATTGTCGCCTCTAAGCTTTTGTTCTTTCTGCTTTTTAAATAGTGCTGACATGGCAGTTTCATTCATGCATTACTTTAAATCATATACAATTAGAGAAGATGGAACAGACACAGAAAGTATCCATGTGTGTTATACAGCGAGTTCTTTAGCCACACATTGGCAGAATGGTGTGTTTGACTACATAACAGGGCTGATTAGCTCCATCAACTCTAATGTTAGACATCATTTTCCTATCCGACTTACCTTTTTATCATGTCCTCCCCATCATGCATCACAGGCAGTGCTATCCATCAAAATTGGCAAGTTATTTGCTTGAGTTCGTCCCAGGGCCTGTGAAGGATTTTTTTCTCCCAGTGTTGACAGAGCATGATGGCCAGAGAGTGCCCTCATCTTTGATGGCCCAGAGAGCTGTGGTCAAGCCCAGAAAGAGTGTGGTGCATCAGTTTGTGTGTGAGTGGATTTTCATGCCAAGTGTGTTTGAATAGCCCGTCCAGGCCTTTCAGAAACTGCTGGTCTGGCTGTCATGTGCAGCGCAAAGTGAGGAAGTATGAATTCAGTGTGACAGTTGGGTTTGTGTTAGTGTGAATGACTGAATATACTAGGACTCTCTTATAGATTGTTATATTTTGCATCCGAGCTGAGAACACAGAGGACTGGAGTGCTGTGATTTCTAATAACCACTGATCTCATTTAGCTAGATTTATGTATTTATGACTTGTTGAGGGTTTTTTGGGCCACATGTAAAAAAATGTAGCCTTTCAGCCTCTGACAAATGTGTAATAGTGCCTGTGTGTCGTGTGGTTGAGTAGCCCGAGCTTGGAGAGGCAGCGGAGGATTGTGGGGAATGGAGTTAGTAAAGTTTGCTGAGGCCGTTGCTGAGGTCCTGTGGTGGGAAAAGACTTTATAGTGGTGGCGTATGGCAGAGAGGAGGTCAAGGGAACACAGCCGGGTTGGGAAGGGACATCTACATCCTTCTCTGTGGGTAAGGCATGAGACCATGTGTCCATTGTGTAGGTGTGTATAACATGAGACATCACAGTTAAGTGTTTTATTAGCTTTGTGGGAGGTTATCTTTTCACGCCTGTCTGTTTGTTGGTGTGTCTGTTTGTGAGCAAGATGACACAAAAACTACAGGACAGATACCATGACACTTATTGGAAGGATCCGATGGGGGTCAGGGAACCCATCAAATTTTGTTTTGGATCTGGGATTTGTTTTTCACTTTCTTTTCATCATTTTTATTGATTTCTCAGAGAATAATTCACGGATGTTGAAAATCAGGCATGGTTAGAGGACTGGTGTTTATGAGTATTTTTAATTTGGTGAAGACCCAAATACAAATCTGAATCTGGTGCAATTTGTGGGACTGTTGGGCCTTGGCGAAGGTATGTACTCTCTGAGAACTATTCTAGGTAAAGCTTAAAATTGCAAAAATTAAAGTAAAAGTTACATCTAGTTTGTTTTTTGCAGGATCAAAATACTCACCTCAGAACTTTTGAAATAGTGTATTATGTGGTAGCAGGCTCTGACAGTATTTTCTATAAATAAGCACTGTAAAGATGCAACAGGCCACCTGAGGTAACATACTGGTCTTAAACCTCAGGGGAGCTCATCTAGCCATGACGCAGGTACAAACTATTCCACGTGATGTTTGGCAAAGGTTCTTGTCTTGACTCACTGAGACATGTTCTGCCCTGCTGAAGATAAACTGATGCATAATGGACAGAGTTTCTTGACCATTCCTTTAATATATCAACCAACTTTTGAACGATTGCATCCTAAACTCTTTACAGGGTGGACATGCATGGCCAAATGAGTCATATTTTGAACGTACAATGTACTCCACCTTTTCTCATCATCGTGACTGACTCAGAACAATGACTTCAGTAGTTCCTTTTGTCTGTGACAAACCTCTAGATAAGTGCCCCCATTAGATCTCACCTTCCCGCTGCTGACCTTTAGACAATTATTCATGATCAGGAATGAAGATCCTATTCCAAAGGTCAGTTTTGTTTTGTCAGAACATTAGAAGTTCCTCAATTTGCAGTCATTCAGGGGAAACGTCTGCAGTTCTTTGACCTAAAACTCTGAAATCTGGTCTCTTCTTTATGTAAAACAGGTACTCTTGTTTGCAAATGTGCTGTGTTGAGCATTTTGAAATGTACTACATGTTTTTTATTGAATTACCACTGTAACATGAAGTTTTATTTACTATAAATGGATGACACACAACACTTTTTTTTTCTTTCTGTGTCATGCCACCGGGCCTCACTATTCTCACTTCTTTTTTTTTGTTGTTGTTGCTTACAGTCCCAGACCATGAATATTGTGGGCCAGTTAGCAGAGACGGTGTTTGTGACGGTGAAGGAGCTGTACCGTGGCCTTAACCCTGCCACACTCACCGGAGGAATCGATGTCATCGTGGTCCGGCAGCCCGATGGATCGTTCCAGTGTTCCCCCTTTCACGTTCGGTTCGGCAAGCTCGGAGTGCTGCGCTCCAAGGAGAAAATTGTGAGTTTTGTTTATTGTTGGAACTCATTTTCTGTTGCTTCGTGGTCCGTTTTCATTTATATAACTACGTTCTTCATTTTGTTTTTAGGTGGACATTGAGATAAATGGAGAATCTGTTGACCTGCACATGAAGCTGGGAGACAATGGAGAAGCTTTTTTTGTGGAAGAAAGTGGAAATATGGAGGTAAGACAGCCAACATTAATGGCCGTTAGTTTAAACTCTGTAAACAAATCTTTTGAATTTTTTGTAACTTTTAAATTATTGGATATATTTCTTTTGGCCCCCCTCAGGCCCAGGTCCCAGCCCATCTCTGCACCTCCCCAATTCCCCTTGAGGTCCCTGAGGAGACAGAGGAGACACCCGAGGGATCCTCCTTTGCTGGGTCTGGTGCTCGCAGGAAGAAACGCCGCCGCAAACGCATTCGCTCCGATACTCACCTGAGGGAAGAGTACTCCTCATCAGATGAGAGAGAACGAGAGAAGGAGTGGGAGAGAGATTGTGATCAGGCTGGACCAGAGAGTCCTTCTCAAGAGGATCTTGTCTCACCGTTACAAGTCAGGTCAGTAGTTGGCTTTTTATGGTGAATCATATCATATGTCTGGTGTCTTATCTTCTTAACATCTACTGTCACTACCAGTAACCACTGACACATTATGGCTAAAGTCAGCAGTTAACATAGAACTCTTTCCATCACCTTCCTTGTATGTCTGCGTCAGATTTCCTGCGTTCTCTTTCAAATCTTGTTAGTAAAGAAATTCTACTTGTAATTGTCATTAGTAACTTGTGAGCATATTATTGGGCTTTTTTGCCTTTATATCTGATGCAACTTATCTATTTGTTGAAATTAAAAACTTTTTTACAGAACACAATGCAGGAAGAGATATTTAGGGTAATTTAGAAATGGTGTCATCATATAGTTTGTCCAGCAGAGTCCACTCTGACGCATTTGTTTAGCAGACAACACAACTGGAAAGACAGTTGTACAGACTAGTTTGTGAAATAGATTGCTGTAAAGTTAAAAAACATATATATACACACATAAATATTGGCCGATATATATCAACATCGGAATTCTTTACTGCTTAAAATCTGTATCATCCACAAAAATCCAGTATCTGGGGCTGTAATTTTCACCCTTTAATTAATCCACAGATGCACAACTATGCATGCAGAGCCGAATACTATAATTAGATTTGATTATATATACTATTTTGGTAAAGGTGTTATATATAACATAATAACAATAATATAACAAAGTCAGTCATTATTTAATTCTCTGTAAAGAAAAGCCCCTGCCAGAACAAAACAGTCAGCACAAAGCAGCTAAAAACTGTACAGAGCTACACACTGTGATGTTGAGTCTCCTCTAACAGCAAGTCAACGTATTCAATATTTAAACCTCCAGTTATCACAGAAGTTGTAAAAAATTCTCTTGTATTTGTGTACAGTAAATCAGTGTACTACTCGCTGTCTGAGGAGCCAAGTGAAGAGATGAGTCCCACGCAGACCAGAGACACTCGCCCTCACTCAGACGGAGAACAGTCGCCCTTGGAAAGGTGAGGAAGCTTAGTTGTGACGATAAATTAATGAATTGATTTGTTTGTGTTAAGCAGTTTCACTGGCAGGCAGTTTAAAATCATTGCTCACTGATTTATGTGGTGTCTCCCTTACTTAAAATGTTTTCTGTATTTCCTTCTCCTTTGCAGCAGCGTGTTTTACAGTCGGCCGTCTTCTCCTAAGAGCGACTCAGAGCTTTTTCTTAAATCCGAAGATTCCCCTGGACCTCAGATGCAGTGGAACTGGGGAGGTTTTCCCATGGTACGCCAAGCAACACACACCCATGCACACACACACACACACACACACACACACACACACACACACAGCTTTCATGTCCTGTCTGTGCTGTGATTAATTCTGTAGATATGAGACCCTCATATTGCTCTCTGTGCCCCCCCACTCACAGCTTTGTCAGTCAGAGAGGACACCAGTGGACTTACAGCGCATCTCCCCTTCTGGGAGATCTCATTTCTGCACCATTGAGAGACAGGACTCCTTCGATATGGGCTTGGAGCCTGTGATCAGCTGTGGAAGACTGGGCAGTGTAACAGTGGTCAGACCACAACCCAGGACTCAGTCCCTCAACCACGCCATGCACACCACTCCTTTATCCATTGAGACAAAGTCTTCATCATCAGTTAAGGTGGATGTGGACTCAAGACAAACACTTGAAATCACATCAGAAGGGAACAGAGACTCATCTATTTATTCTGCTAGTCTGATTAATGGCACTGACTCCCTTGATAGCAAAGAAAGCACAGTTGCTACTGAGCACGTTAGCACTTTGACTGAAACAGTTGGTACAGTTATTGCGGTCAGTGTGACCACAGTAGAAACAAGTCCAAGTAGTACAGCGCCATCACACCTACAAAAGCAGGGTGCTTCATCTGAACAAAGTGAACAGGGTTCGACCAGTAGTGCCCCTGCCAGTGAGGGGGACAGTGGGATAGATCCCTGTGCGGAGGGAGGGGAAGAAGACAATGGACCTGGAGAGATGGAGGCGTCAAACGGGGACACTCTGTCCAACGACACTTCACCGAAAGATGACACTGGAGACGTGAAGGACGACTGGACGGCTGCAGAGGGGTCAGCAATCTCATCTGAGATGTCTTCCAAAGTGGAGCAAGAGGGCAAGAAGAGAGGTTGTTGCTTTTTCATTCAGGAAACATTTCAAGCCACATTTTAGACGAAATAAATATCTTAATATCACTTTTGTTCACAAATTATTTTCATGTGTCATTCTGTCACAGGTAAACGGAATCACCATCTAGAACCAACAGATATTTACTTGGATGATTTGACCTCACTGGACCCAGAAGTGGCTGCACTCTATTTCCCAAAGAGGTGAGAAGTCACATATGGACATTCCTCCCATAATACACTCATCTGTGGCTGTTGTGCCTCAGGGGTTAGAGTGGTCGTCCTCTATCTACAAGGTCGGTGGTTCGATCCCAGTCTTCCCTATTCCAAATGCCGAATGCAAAATACTGAACCCCACATAGATGAACTGTATGAATGTGTGAGTGAATGGGTGAATGTAAATCTTTACTTTAAAGAGCTTTGAGTGGTCATCAAGACTAGAAAAGTTCTATATAAATACAGACCATTTACCCTCTAACAAGCTTTGAGATCATATTGTGGAAATGACAAAGACACTAAAAGACATTTAGTAATTGCCACAGTGACTGATTTCCATTGAAACTGCTGTAGTGCTGTGGTTTCTATAAAATGTTCCCTTATTGAAATGATATAACTGTGTGTTGTCCCTGCAGTGAAGCAGAGGCAGCATCTCAGCACGGGGCAGAGCAGGGCTCACTCTCAGGGAGTCAATCCCCTCACTCAGTGGGCAGCGGGGCCATAGACAGCGGCACAGAGTACCTGTCAGACTCCACCTCCTACAACATGGACATCAGCATGTCCCTCTGCGGAGGAGAGGGCAACACCAGCCAGATCACCAAAGGTTAATGGTTTTTTCTGTGTTTGTGCTCGTACATGAGGAAATGCAACAGAGTTAAATCAGTCACCATGATGCTTTTTGCTCTTACTCCAGAAAAGTTTATGGAGCACATTGTGACATACCAGGATTTTTCTAACAATCCAGGGATCATTGAGGATCCAAGTCTTGTCATCTGCATCAACTCCAAGTAAGAAATAATCAAATGAAATCAAGTGTCTCAAATTGTCTATGATCGTTAATTAGCATTTTTCATCTTCCACAGCTATTATAACTGGGCAGTCGCTGCTCCAATGGTCTTGTCAATGACAACTTTCCAGAAAAACCTGCCTAAGGTATTTTATTGTTTCTAAACCAGACCACAATAACTTACTCATTAAGTTGTTTAACAATAATCAATGTTGTCATCAAGTTATATTTAATTTTACATGATATAATGACAGGAAGACAAGATCTTAGTAAGTTGGTGACTATGATGTGAGGATTAATTTAATCGTTGCCCTCTTTGTGGATGTGTGTCGTACAGAGTTCAATAGAGCGGTTGGTGAAGGACAAGATGCCCAAAAAGTCTGGACGCTGGTGGTTTTCCTGGAGGAGAAAAGACATGGACAATAACCAAGTAGATACTTAAGAGCTCCTGTTAATAGTTATTCATTGAAATATGATGGTGGAACTGCTCAGAAAGAAATGATACATGTTTGGACCTAAATAACAATTATACACAATAACCACAAAACAGAAAGTTGAACAGTTTTTTTTAGGCGTAGCCTTGTTAGATTGGGTTGGTTTTAGGAGAAATAACAGCATAGAGATGGAAGACATTAACAGATAAGATTATAAGCAAGTGTTCACTGCTTAGTCTGTTTGTAAAATATATAGTATTGCCACTTTGGTTATTAGGTTGTAATGTTGCTGATAATAATATAATATATATATATATATTTTTTTTTTTACAGCTAAAAAATTCAAAGGAGGCAGAAGAGGAGCAGCTGGCCAATGTTTCTTCCACAGTGAAGTAAGGCACCTCCCAAAAAATTATCGAGCACAAGTTAATGCACAAGTATGATCTGTTTCAGCTGGTCCTGCCGATCTACAGATGCTCCACAGATTTCTTATGTTTGAGCTTAGATACTCAGTTTGGTTGCTGGACAGACACATACTGCCAGTACGTCTTTATTATCCTGTATTTTGTGTATTTGAATGCTAATAAACTCCTGTGGTTGTAGCTCCTAGACAGAGGTACAATAAAGGTTAATAAAGCTACAAGCAGTAACAAAAGAGGATTGGATGAAATGGAGGGAAATTATAATTTTTTTTTGTTTTTAATTGAGAAATATGTTTCTGAATCAATTCCAAGCATTATCCTGTAGTTCACATCTGGGCCTCCAGGTTACGCCAAAGCTACATCCATAAAGGACGTTACTCTGTATATTCTCAAAAACGTCAACATGTGATAAACTCAAAGCTTGAAATAGCTCATACAGAAAATATATTATTTTTATGTACTGATAATGTGTCAGTGTTTCTGTCAGGGTTATTAATAATGAGCAATAACTTAAAAAGAAACACAACTTATTCTGAATCATATGTATTGTTTTCCTAGAGCCACACTGGATGACATCGAGAGTGATGAGGCAGCAGGGCTCGGACGGAAAGCAACGCTTCCTTCCAGCCAATCAACAGACACCCTGAGCGCCACTCAGTGTATCAGCCAGATGTACCGCAAATCACTGCGCCTGACCTCTAAACAGATAGTAAGTGATGCTTTCAACTACACACTCATACACCTGGGCAAAATATGTTTTATTCTGCTGTCAAATATATTTAGAGGTTTACTAATGTCTTGATGGTTTTGTGAACTTTACCCCTGTCTCACCCAGGAACGCTTAAACCTGCGTGAGGGAGCCAACAAGGTGGTGTTCAGTGTGACTACACAGTACCAAGGCACCTGTCGCTGTGAGGCTGCTATCTACCTGTGGAACTGGGAAGACCGTGTCATCATATCAGACATAGACGGCACCATCACCAAGTAAAACAACATGATTACATAAAAGAAGTCCAATACACAATTTACAAAACAGCATTACTAGGATAGATCAACTGTCACTGTGTTGTGAGTAGTCTTGACTTTCTGTCTCTTGCAGGTCTGATGCTCTCGGTCATATTCTACCTCAGTTTGGAAAAGACTGGACGCATAAAGGCATCGCCAAACTCTACCACAAAATACACCAGTACGTGAAATTACTGTCAGGAATCAAAAGGGCAAAAAACATATATGTCTTTATTTAGTTTCCTGTTCTTTTCTTCCTTTGTTACTGACTGATTTTCCACTCACATGACTCACACCATAACAAGTAAAAACAGATGCGATCCACCTCCTGCTGGTGATTTCATTCTGATGTCATTCTACATGCAGCTGATCTGTCTAATCTGCATCAGCTTGTTTTCCTGTTCGTCCTCGTCTTCATGCGTCTTATGTTGAGCTCCTAAAATGTGTGCAGCTGTTCGGTTAATTGAAAAAAGACACAATTCCATTTGAGGTGCTAATATTTTCTCACACATATCTGAAGAAAAGCGATACGATACATGTGTGAAGCTGAATGAGATGATGAAAGAATTTAGGAGACTAATGCTGCACTTCAGTTACACCCACAAGAACTGGAAAACATGTTTTGTTCATTTTGTGATACTAAAATTCTAATGTGGTTGTTCATCTCCTTGCAGAAATGGTTATAAGATCCTGTATTGTTCAGCGAGGGCAATAGGTATGGCTGCTATCACAAAGGATTACCTACAGTGGGTCAATGACAGAGGCACTGTGCTTCCTAAAGGCCCAGTACTGCTGGCTCCCAGCAGCCTCTTTTCAGCTCTACACAGGTAAATAATGCATACCACTAATATGCATTCCATATGAATTATGCTAATTATATCAAGTGTTCTGATTCACAGTAATATAAAGGATGTAGGGTTTGACTTCTGTTTCTTTGTTATTAAATAACTCATGACATGACCTTTACACTGAAAATCAATGTACTGAATAGTTGGTACTGCTCATTACCTCTTGGGGGCACTCCTCTGAGACAAAGAGGTACAGGTTATGCTCAGTGACTACACTCTATGAAATGAATAAATGTGATCAAGAAGTTAAACGTTTGAATGGATCACTGTCCCTCTTAACCTGTGCAGAGAGGTGATTGAGAAGAAGCCGGAGGTGTTTAAAGTTGCTTGTCTCAGTGACATCAGGGACCTGTTCAACCAACAGAAACATCCATTCTACGCCGCCTTCGGCAACAGGACTAATGTGAGTAACGCTACGAGTGACTGTAGACTTCAGCTAATGTCAGTTTTTCAGGTTTCAGTTTGCATGGTTTTCTGTTTGGTGATTTAAGCCTCTGGTAAAAACCTGGGTTTGTATATAATCACAAGAGATCATGAATTGAAAAAAAAAAGGTTTGTTTACATGGTTATTGTTTTATTCTTATAAATCCTAGCTTACACCCAGCAATGGGAGATTTCACATTTTGTTATGTTGCAGCCTTAGAGAGAATAAAATTTAATTTTAGACATTTCTATAAATGTATTAAAATGAATACTTGAAATATCACATATCTTTCTTTACTATCTCTTGAGAAAATGCATGTTGTGATTAGGTACTATAGAAATAAAACTGAATTTATTGAATATTTAAACACTTGGCTATGACACTTAATATTTATTAGTTTTGGTGCTTCCCATTTCTTGAGCATGTTTAAGCTGTTTCTACACACTGGCTGGAGGCCATTGGTGGTAAAGTCAACATGATGTGGAAAGACACACACCTGTCTATATAAGGTCTCACAGCTGACTCTGTCAGAACAACAATTCATACATGAGGTGGACAGAGTTTTCTGCAGAGCTTTCTGCAGAGTATCTCTATACAGGATTGTGTAGAGATACAGATCTGATAAGGTTCCCAAGATGCACAGAGACCCTCATGATAAAACCATTGGCAGTACTCAGACGCTTCTCCACTGTAACGCTGGGGCAGAGTTTTCCTTTTTACAACTGCTAGATGCACATCATCTAATTGAGCTAATAAACACAGGTCGTTGGTCCATTTAGGTTTTGTGATTCTTTTACTGTTTGATGCTATTTATAGTCTACGGACTGGCTTCATAAATTTGCTTCTCACAGACTGAGTTTTTTTGGTGCTTTAATGTGCCTGTCACTGAGGCCACGCTGCCACACAGCTCTAATTGGTAGAGTGTTGAGGGAATTTTTTTTTTTATCTTAGCAGAAGGTTGCAACATTAAAAATGTGCAAAAAGTAAAGAGGTCTGTTTCTCTGAATGCACTGTACGTTGCTGCCCTCTCTTTCGCAGGATGCTTATGCCTATAAGCAGGTTGGAGTGCTTGACACCAGGATATTTACTGTCAACCCAAAAGGAGAGCTCATCCAGGAAAGGACCAAAGGCAACAAGACCTCGTAAGTGTGCAACACAATGTGGGTATGGAGGGATAATATCACAAATGAATGGAATGACTTCCAACTATCACTTCTGAAGGCCAGACCAGTTTTACATTCAGATTATTCACTTGATTTTCTGCACTTTCAACTCCAGTGGCTCTAACCATCCCTCTATTAAAACTGTAAATGGCACTGGCATTGGTCTTGTTAAAATACTTAGGAGTTTTGGCTTGACTGTAGAATTATTTTTAAAATACTCGATTCAAAACTTAAAAATCAAAATAAGGTGTCTTGAATAGAATTAATTGATCTCTGTCTTCTTGTTTTGTCACTCAAACCCTCAAACCCTTTTTGTTAATTCCTCATTTTGTGTAATTGTGCCTAAAAGAATGTTTGCTTGTCCTCACGTCTCTTGTGGAAAAGAGATCTTAGTCTGAATGANATTTCTAAGTAAAAGTTCAGATCATGCAAGCCTGTGCGTGTGTATTTTGCAGGTACTGTCACCTGAGTGAATTGGTGGAACATTTCTTCCCAGTGCTCCCTGCTGAGGGCAGCCTGTCCTCTGCCTTTTACTATCCTGAGTACAGCAGTTTCTCCTATTGGAAGGAGCCTCTGCCAAAACTGGACCTGGATGCACTACTGTAGAAACACGCCCACATTGAACAAAACACACAGAAGCATCAACACTCCTGCTCAGTTCTCTCATTTTCCAGAAAGGCAATTCAATGGATTGTCCCCAACATGCATGAATGTTGCCTTTGATAGACCTGCCAACTGTGGAGCCTCTATTATGAGCCACTGGATGATCTGGAACATAAAGAGGCCCCTGTTCTTTTTTTACACTCCACTCAAATGCAGAGGCAAATCAAGCCATAAAATGCATGAATTCTGCATTTATACAACAGAAATCCCATCATGCATTAATCTCAGTGCCCTTATATTTGCTATAGCTGTTTACACACTCACCCTAATGGACAAATATGGCTTCAGACTGTTTCACTGACTGCTATTGTGTCATATCAAAGCCTTTCCAAAATGTTAATTCAAGCTGAATTTTAGTTTTATAACCTCAACACTGTCATACATTTGACATGGACCAAAATATTTTTGTACAGAAATAGAGAAACTGAGCTTTATTAGAACATTTTAATTGAAGCCTAAATTACTGCGAATGCCAAAATGGTGTAACTGCTGTTCTCTGCTTTCTGTGACAGACCTGGAAATGATCAGTGTCCTGCTTATACCAAATCACTATAATGTGACTAACTGAAACAGACCCACCCACACGTAGCTGCAAGACCAACTGTTCCTGTATTCCATGGACATTGTTTCGATTGTGTTTGTGTATTCATGACAACAGTGACTGTCTTTGTGTTTGACTGTTGTGAGGAGGAGGAGGAAGAGGAGCTTTTATAGCTGCATGTACCAGGCAACCAAATATGGTGTGTGAGTGTATTTAAAACTATTTGATTTATTCTTTATTCTAATTTCTTTTAGTCTTGTTTGTCCCCATAAGTATGTGATGCAGTAGCTGGAGTTCATCCTGATCAGGGTTGAACATTATTAGTTTAGTCTTAAAAGAGCAGTAGCCTCAGGAGTGAAGACCCTTTAAGAGTAATAACAACTGAGTCAAAGCTCAATATGGAGTTAGAGCTGCTTGTAAAGTGTAATAGATTTATTTTTGATTCAGAACACTAGGGCTGTAATAACTAAGCTGGTCATTGTCAACTAACACAAAGCACATTTCAACTCTTCCTATGAGCTTCGGCAGCACCATGTTTAGAAATGTTTGTACACTACATGAGGCGAGGTGGGTCAGACTGACAGTGACTTTACTCCAGATGTGTAAACACACCGAGGGGTTGGTGGGGTTTAAAGTGGTGATTTATCCTGGCGCTGTGCCTTTATACTACCACAACACTGTTTTATTTATTGTCTTTACATATCTTTCATTATCCAACCGTGTGGGGATGTATTAGAGACAAAAGATGTTATTTTAAAACCAATGTAAAGAAATATTCATTAAATTAAAACAACAATGCCTGCTGTCTTTATTGTCCAGTTTAAATGTGCCATGAGTGATTATGTTAATATTTACATTCAATACACATTTTCTTTGATACTGCATACATTCAATTAACTAGTGCTTTAGATA